TGATAACATTCAAGATTATGCAGGATTATACTCAAAAGATCTCTTTAGTCCTATGTCTCTTATCCTTAGGAGGTCTTCCTCCACTAGCAGGTCTCGTTACGCTGTTCGACTGAACTCGTTGGCTCCGCGTCCACCGAAAGGAAGTTACCTTTGTCACCATCAGCATTTGGTACTCTCTCGATARCTTCTCTCATGGGAGGTTTAGCTGCATTCTTCTTCTTCATATTTGAAATCACACAAGGAACGACGAACATACGAAAGCTTTGGAGAAAGATGGCAGGGGCACGTTAGCGCCCTTCCTTCAGCCTTTTTCAGCTGGTTGTTCTGTTATTTGTAGCGCGTCTTCCCTCCTTCTTTCACTTCGGAAAGATTTARCAGTATTTTCTTATGATGACCTGGTCGAGAGAGTATGATAAATCGGTGTAAAAGATTGAGGCTGTTCTGTTAGTTGTAGTGCACTTTCCCTCCTTCTTTCACTTCRGAAAGATTTAACAGTATTTTCTTATGATGACCTAGTCGAGAGAGTATGATAAATCGGTGTAAAAGATTGAGTGGGATCTGTGAGGTTGGTTATAGTAAGGYCGGGCCGGAAAGTGTTCTTGCCTCTATCATTAGCTCGGGTAATCGTCGTTTCTGGTGTTTCAGTCACCTTTCAATGGCTCCCTTAATTATGTGCGAGGCAGAGGCGGCTCCAGCTCATCGCAATCCTGCCTCAGCTGCATACATCACTATACTTCCACTTGACACCTATCATGATGATAAACGACTCATCTCATCGTCACCTCCCTCCATCCCTGCGGAGGGCGCACAACCCCTTCTCTGCTCTTGAGTGTTTCACATTAAGCTCTTCGATCCTGCCTAGTCAAATTATGATATTAGTCAGAAAGGCAGCTAGTAAGCAAGTCGAGTAAGACAACTATTATTAAGTCAAGCGAGCTTTCGCTAATACTAATCAAAGACGAAAAGTTAAAGTCAGAATTCGCGTAGAGATGATAGGCGCTTATCTATGGTGGAGCTCGGTAGCAACTGTCTTTGTTTGTACACCTAAAAAATTCTTACTCCTTATCTTATTTACTCCTATTTTTGGCCTGGGTTTGACGATTCAGCGAAAATCGTTGGACTCATATGGGTCTCCCTGCGGCCCATCTGGTGGGGACATCTATCACGAGCGCAGAGCCCGCCAAGCGGGCGGCTGGAGCTGCGGGCAAGTGCTTGGTAGGCCAACAACCTAGTGAACCGGGTGGGGCACTCCTTTGCTTGCCTTTCTGCTAATGCCTATAGCTTTCCCCTGCCTTTGCAGGGTGGTATCRCTCTCTAAATGCTGGGTCTACTGTTGCTGAAACTACTTGTTCAGGGTAAACCATAAGAACTACTGCATCTGGACCTTGTGCGGTTCGAGTGGTCCCGTCAGATGCACAAGCAGTTGTAGTGAGGAGCAAACTTGGAAGGGTCCAAATTCAATTGTCTGGTTGTACTCAACYGATCACAATGTTACTCARTTCAAATAATGAGTCTCGATTATAGAGATCTACCGACGAAAGTTGCGGCATCCATAAACACTTTTTTTTTTTTTGTAAAATTTTATTGGGTTAAAAGTAGTTTTTATCTCACTATAATTGATCTCAAACTCACTCCTATTAGGAGGCCGAATAGCACTTGGAAGTGAGTGAAGACTATAATGGGAAAGTAGAAATTGGTGAAGAGTTGGGGTAAGGTCTAAGGCTTATAAAAGGTGGGAGTTTTGACCCACTTTTTTAAAAGGATTGTCKGACAAGGGAGAGACAATGAAACTGTGGGAGTAAAGAAAGTGTGGGATTGGTTTCTATGTTTGATTTTATTCTCTTTTGTCAATGGGGGCATAAATAAGAGTGGTGGGATACTGGATAAGTATCTCTCTCCCCAACGTCAAAAATTTAAACTTTTCAAGTTTGAATTCTTGTCCATGTGTGTAGGCCATAAACACAAATTTTGTTTGCATCCATAGGACAAAGTTTATGTCATTAGTATTATTGTTTTACATGTATTTATTAAAAAAAAAAAGAGAAATATTTCTAATGAAAAATGAAGGAGATAGACGGGATATGAATGAAGGATTTGACTATAGAAATGAATATCAAGATAGCTTACAGCATGCACTGACCACCTYTCAGACAGTTCGATTATGTGAGAATCAATCTAAAATAGTTCCCATAAAGAGTTTAAAGGATCAGAACTAAGAATGTGTATGCTATTTCACTCGGACTGAGCGACRCTGAGAATATTTTCTACTAGTTATATATCTTGATCACTATCTAATCTAGTAAGAATAAGAGGATTGTC